TGTTAGTTGTCCCTGGCCCGCGCAAGAAAACTTTCGTGGTCTGACCAATACTTAGGGTGCCGTCTGTCGGCCCTCATCCTCCAGGGTCGTGAGCTCTGTTGTACAGTCTGTGCGACGCCTGACTTTAGTCAACAAACTTTAGTCCACTGGTGTTTCACTTGCTGGTTTCTTAGTTCAATGTTAGCCTACGGCGATGTGTGTTTCACAGCTCTCATTAGCCGCGCCGAATTCGCTCTTGAATTTGGCGTGTCGCCAGCGCCGCGCATGGGACCAGGAGATGGTTCTGCGATTTCAAAGTCAAAAAAGTCGCCCCCTCTCCCTCGCGCCCTCCGTCTCCCTCTCGCTCGCCCCCTCGCTCTCGCTTTCGAGCTTCTCTCACACTCTCTCGCAGTCAAACGCACACGCACGCACAGGCAAATATGTTCTAACACGCGTGCCTGCATCGCTTCCTGCCTGAAACATCCTGAAACTGATCTCCTGCACATGGCATGGGTTTCAATAAGCGCTGTTTGGGACCTCAACAAACAAGATGGCCCTGTGTGAAGAATTTCGTGCTTACGCTGCTATAATCTTTATGGCTTGCATCAAGAAGCCGAATCAGCAACTGGTTGCTGACGAGAAGTATCTTCGACAGGCAAAGATACTCGTAGCATCCTTTCATGTGCAGGTGACTGTAAGCCATCATTACTATTACTAAATCATCTTGTTGGGTCCGATTTGGTTGGGTGGTTGTTGTGAAGTGGGCGCCACTGCTTGACTGCGACAGAGTCAATCTCGGATCGAGTGGAGCGTTGCCTGCCTCGTGCGAGTGTGGGGGTCGAAATCATCACTAGTAGGGCTTGAATACGTTTTGGCTGCAGCCTGGGTTTGGAGGCGACGGATTCTACTTTCTCGTCGCTTGACCAGAAAACAAGACTCTACCCTGCGGTGTGGTCTGTCCGGCTGTCGCGGCTTTGGTTTGAGACGAGCAGTCCGGACCACAACCTGCACTTTAAGCCGTAGTTTTGCCTCAAATCTCATGTTTTGGCCGGCGGCCTCGTGAGTTTCAGGCGGACAGTGGACACTTTGGATAGCATGAAAACTGGTCCATATTTGTGCAGGTGCAGATTTACGAGAAAGGAGTGGAGGAACGAGGGAGACAGCGAGAGGTAGAGAGGAAGGGAGCAATGGAGACAACCAGTGTCACGCCAGATGTTTCGATGTTCAGGAGCTTCTTTGGTAAACCCTTAAACTCAAGAATCCAGGATGTTGGCATGCCCTCGTATGGTAGGGGTGGCGGTCATACCCATTTCTGTTATCGTTTATTATATCCTTATTGCCATATCCTGGTTGTTGCTCTACTGTCAATGCCCTATGACGGCCATCTTGTGTGTGCTTGGGGTATGTCCCAGCAGCAATCCGGATGCTCATCGCCATGCCTGCTTTGGCGAGTGTGTGAGTCGAAACTCAAGAATCCAAAATTGTGAATCCTTGCCTGCCATGTGCGAGCTGCGGGAGTCAAACCCAAGCTTCAACACATACACTTATGAACGCTGCACGTCCATTGCAGCCTCCTTCCTTGCGAGGCCGAACGCCGCCTTTGAGATCCCTAACCTGGGCAAGGTGGCAAGGACATGGGTGGGGCGAGTTTGGGACTCTTCAATCTCTCAGAGCTTGCAAGTTAAGGGCAGAATCTCTTCCCATGCTTCGCGGAGTCGAGGAGTCACGCTTCACCGTATGACCGTGCCAAGTAAATTACAGTCGATTCTTCTACCTCTTCGGTTCTGTCCTTTTCTTTCGCCGACAGACGAGCCGAGACGCGTCGACGACAGGGGACGTGACCCTTGAATGGAGCCTCGCGCCGAGCCGCGTCTCATGCAGCATAACAGTAACTGCGACACGTGGCGCCCACCGCTCACGGCGATGCTTGGGGCAGTTCTGGGGTCTGCCTTCTCTCCATGTGAGCACAGCCGCGACTGGCGAAATTGGGGTTCCGCGACGTGGGGGACGCATGACAGACTCCGTGTGAGAGCGGGAGGGGACGTTCTGCAGATCGGGGACACCGTGGGTGGGTCGGAGTGATCTGCCTGGCCCATCCTGTGGCAAGTGCTGTCTTCAGTGCATGGTCGGAAGTGGAATAGCCACGCCTTTGACCGAAAGGATTGATGCGAACCGCCTCATCTATGACTTCTTCGACAAGCACCGCTTCGCAGCAGAAACTTCAGTTGTTGCTGATCAAAACCAAACCCAGTCTTTGAAAAGGGCCTCAGGTCAGAGCATGTGTGTGACATGTCTGACCTCCTGTGCAAGGACTGCCCGACGAATGGAGCATCTTGCAGCTGAAAATGCAGGCCTCTTTCTTGAATGCTTGCATCAAATAGCGACGCTCCTTGCTTGAGAGGCCGCAGGAGCTGTGTCCGTCGAGCAGAGCAGCCCCAGGTTTGGAGCTCTGCTGTGGGCCGGTGCTTGGCTTAGCTTCGTGACGCATGGGGGGTTGTTCTGGCAGTCGGCCCCCACCTCTGACGAAGGCATTGCAGCCCTGGGCCCATTGCTCTTCTGGACCTTGATGGCTCGGCGCCGCTCCGAATGCTGCCGTGACACTCCCCGCAGCGAGCTGGGTGCGAGCCTCCGGTCAGCTATGGTCTGCTGCCTCGCATTAGTGGTGTGGCTGAGGTCCGCTGCTTCTCGCGGACGTCGGATCGCCAAGTCATGCTGCGCTGCTGCCGTGACTCGAAGGCCAACCATACACCAGCCTTTCCTAGAGTCTTGCTGTGTTGAACCGAGACTCGAGACATGCGATTGGACAGGAGATGAGATTGGAGCTCCGACCCCCTGATTCTGAGACACCTTCTTCTTGTGATATGCGGCCGCGCACAAGGACGCGCCCGTTTCACCAAATTGGCCCAGAGCCCACTCTATGCCTGGATTTAGCCTGTGATGTCCAACTGCTTTATTTCTACATCATTCCCTCCTGAACTGATCTGTTGGCTATCGCAGGCTGACCTTCTGCGTCCAAAAGGCAAAGGTAAGAACGATTCGAAGCTGGTCGTCCTGCGGGCATAATTTGCCTGAAAGTTGTGCAGGACCAAAAGGCATAAAACCTTCCCTGTCGCAACACCAACATCTGTGAGAACACTTTCCGATTGTGCTTGGATGCTCTGCCCAGGATGGGCTTAAACAAGGATGATTATTGGTGGTACCGAGATCTCAGTCCAGTCCTCTGGTGATTATCTGGGACCTCGGCATCTGTTTCCATCACTTCCCGGATCCTGAGGAAAATTTGGCTCCGTCCCCCATGCTGGCTTTGGGGTTGGCTTCGAGAGACTTGTCATGCTCTGCACCGGTGCAGGGAACTCGGTGAACAGGCTGAAGATGGCTGAAGCAAAGGCTGAGCGAACGTCGTCAGAACTCTCTGGGCTTTCTGAGGTCCAGAACATTCGTGATGTCATTCCGTTCCCACGGTACCCTGGTGCCGTCCCTGGCTCTCGGTGCGATGTCCAGCCCACAGCCTGCCGCCCGTGCCTCGAGGTCATGCTGAGTTCTGAGTGAAGATGTGAATGTGTTTCGCTCTCAGCGCCGTCTGGCGCATTTTCTTTGAGAGGCCAGCACTCAGCCTCAGCCAAGTCATTTCGGAACACTTCTGCAACATGCAAGACTACTGGCCGATTACTGGCACTTACTGATTTTCCTGGCTGTCCTATGCTGTCATGGCATTGACGAGCGAAGCTCGCTGCCAGCGCTATTTGCAATTTTATGCCACATGAACTTCAGCGGCTCTCTGTCTCTGCTATCGTTTTCACGTACAGGAAAAAGTTTCGAAAGCTTCAGCGTGATCCAGCTTAGCGGTGTGCAAATCATGTGTTTCGATGCAAGGGTAAAGTGCACTGCAAACTCACAGCCAAGATGCTGAGCCACGCGACAAACCGAAGCTCATGAACCATCGATGCCCGGTCTGAACCTTCGGGCCACAGGAAAGAGCGACACATGTATCATGTAGCCAAAATCACGGTGCCGCTAGACCGTCTGCATGCAACGCCATACAGAGAGAGATCATGGCATGGTAGTCGTTGCCGCGCCATGTATACTCGCCTAGAGGCAGGAACTGCCTTGTACAAGTCGACGGCAGTGTTTGAAGTCCTGTGACCTGTGACATGTATGACGAGTGCGGGTGTGGATGACACAAGCTTCTGCTCGATTGCGAAGTTCTTGAAATCGCAATTCAGGTTTGAGCTGTGGCCGTTCGCAGGACCAGGAACCCAAGGGCCTGGCGACACTATGCTATGTGATCTTCCTCGGCACGTTCGAGCCGGGACCGAGTGCAGGCATCATCACCACGTGCTTCAAGATGTGCTTGAAACCTTGAGGTGGGGTATGGTGATCCCCACGCTGTGGCCCTTGCTGCAAAGAATGGGCTCCCCTGAGATGTGGCTCGGTTAGAAGACAGCAGTCTCGAAGACCCACCTATTCAACGAGGCTGTGCTTGAACCCCCTCGGTGTTCACCTCGGCCCTAGCTGCTGCACTTGTTACTTCTTACGTCATCCTGCTGCACCTGCCACTGTACTACATTACCACATAAGCCCACCCCTACAAGGGCACCTAGGTCTAGGTCTGGCATCTTTCTCGTCATGGAATGGCACCGGCGCAGCAAATCCGGGCCTCGAAAGACTATCAGTATGACCCCGACCCCCCTCGCTGACGATGCCACTGACGATGTCTAGCAAAAGCTCACTGCAAGTAAAGAATCTGAGCACAGTACCAACTTGCCCGCCACACAATTTCTTGGGTGAAGTGTGAGCAGTTCCAGTGCGGCGCGACCGCCTGTGAAAGGTATTTTGGGCTTGTGATTGGCACCTTCTCGCTGACTCGAGTAATTTGCCAGCCGTGCCTTGTTCGCATGTCAAACTGAGTATATGCGTCTTGAAACTTCCAAAACTTGGAGCCGAAATCATTCTGCAGGATTATCGGAGCTTTGGGAGATCGCTGGGACTTCCAGGTCGCCTTTGAGTCCAGCGCGTCGCTATGGAAACACTGATGGCGGCAATAGTGAGCTCAATATGTCGGTTCGGCGCGCTCCTGGCGAGGTGCTGCTGTGCAGCTGCCTGCTTTGTTCAGCATTGGGAGGCAAGCCTTGCTTTGGGACGCTTTCAGCGTGACAGCCGTGACACCATGTACTCCTTTTTGAGCCCTTTGCTGCGAACCGTGTTTATGCTTCCCGAATAAAGTCGGTCGGGCCTTTGGCTCAAAAGGCTTGAGTAGAATCGCGAGGTGAATCCAGTTGATTGTTCCACCTTCGCACATGCAATGCCCACTCACGAACATTCATTCCCCCAAGACAGTTGCAGTCACAGGATGTTTCTCAGTCCTGAAACCTGAGTAGAAGTGGTCCAACAGTGATGAGCAAGCCTTGAGATTGCTCTGCGCTGATGCGCCGGGCGCAGCGTACATACTGGAATTGGCTGACTGTCCAGCTGGTCTTGTTTGTTTTGTTGACTTTGCAAGTTGGATATGTCGGGACTCCGAAGCCAAAGGCATGTCCCAGGATTCCGCGCGGAAACACAGGCAGGCAGCTATGCGCGAGCCCGCCAGGCTCGGGCCCGTGGGCTACGGTCGAGGCAGCCTACGACAAAATCTCTGCGAATTTTGCAGAAAGCAGGCGCTTCCCATGGCCGTTCGTTGTACAATGGCTGCGGACCAGTCAGAGGGACACACTCCTGGTGGCTGGGTGTGGAGACGGCAGGCATGTTCAGTCAGCCCTGGATTTGGGCTTCCGCCGCATCTTTGCCCTGGACTTGTCCGAGGGCATGCTCCAGGCAGCTCAACGGCGGCTCGGAGACAGCGGAGAAAGCGTGGTTTTCTTGCATGGCGACACCAGGCGTGTGCCCTTGCCAGATGAATCCGTCCAGGATGTCCTTTCCTGCATCTCGGCTGTTGCGATATGCAAAAGGAAAGGCACACGCAAGGAGTCTAGAAGTCTAGGAGTCTGTAGCCTTGGGTGTCCCCGTAGGTGCGGTCTTGCACCACCTGCCCCTGGCGGAGTCCAGAGCTGCCTTGCAAGATTTCAGACGCCTGCTTCGGCCAGGCGAAGAGAGTCGGAGAGGAGGGCAACTTGACGGGCACCCGTTGTTCCGGTCGCCCGAGTTCAAACGCAAACCTGGGAGGGCAGCCGGGCAAACACAATCGTCGCTCAATGCAAAAGCAACAACGGCAGGGCGTCGTTCAGGGTCTTGCTTTTCCATTTCATGGTTGCTCGTTGCGCACGCCTGCGGAGACTGCCCGCACCTGCCGCCTTTCACACAGACCGACCAACCCAGTGCGCGTTCGCGCGCGCGGAAGGGTTGCGATGGGTCTGCTGTCTCTGTGGAAGAGAGAGGGGGCAGGAAGGGCAGGAAGAGGGAGGGAGCTCAGTCACGCAGGGGGACGGCTCCTGGCATCCTGCTGGGATCCTCGAGCAAAAGCTGTGGCGAAGCGAGGAAAGCCCGCGGAGGCGAGGACTCCGTCGGCACTCGTTAAGTTGAGATTTGAGATGAGACATTCTGAGACCAGAGAAGTACCTGTGATTTCTTTGAAGTAATTTCAAGCAAGTTGCTCTCGTCGGGGGGATGCTGCACACGTCCGCGCCCCGCTGTCCCATCCTGGACACTGCCCGCTGCCTGGAGGACGGCATCGAGGCTCATGCTTACTGGGTTGCCTGGCGGTGTGCAGATGGAAGCGATGTCCAACGATGGTACAACTTACCGCCGTTGGAGGCTTGCTACCATGTGTACCATGAAGGACTGTGACGGTGGAGCTGTGTGAGGTGAGGCGGCAAAGTTGGAGTGACGTACCGGGCCTTCTCCTCGAGATGCTTGGATAACTTAGTGTATTCACAGTCACGGTTTGCAGTCCATGACCTTGCGAAACGCGGAAAGCCCTACCTGCCTGCGATTTGCTCTCCTCGCCGCAGTTGTTAGGAGAGTGGAGCTTGATGGAGACAATCAGGTCTTCGAGCGCCTCGTCTGTTGTTGCGAGTGACACATTGCCCGGTCTGATATCCTCTTCCAAGGTGGCGCAAACTCCCAGAGACCGGCTCCTGAAGTGACACTGTGAGTTGAAACAGCATGGAGGCCGCCATGGAGGCTGGTGAAGACCCTGCAGCACTGGCAGATGGATGCGGACATGGCTCATCGCGATGCAGCCAAACATGGGGCGAAGTGGTACTGTCTCACGTCCAGCTCTCTCGTGATGCCACCTGCCATAAGAGATTTGCACACGGCACCCCCGGAAAGAGATCGCCAACTCCTGGGAGCGCTTGCTCGTCTTCGTGTGCAACTTGCCCAAAGCTCACGGCATGGAGCCAGGTGTGCTGTACGCGCTCTCGCCTGTGCCGTGGCTGTTGCTGGTGTGGCACTCTTAGCTTTGGATTTCTTGCGGCACGAAGTCCCTGTAGTCCTGTCGATTGGAGGGCTTGCCCAGACTGTAGTCCTGTCTCACTCTCTTTCGCTCTCTCTCCCTCCCTCTCTCTATTTGGTCCCAGTCTCTATCTGCAATCTATCTATCCATTTATCTATACAGCGATCTTTCTAGCCATCTATCTATCTATCTGCCTATCTCTGTATCTACTTCTTGTTGACCAAATCCCGCGCTCCTGACCTGTTGGTTTTGTTACCTCGGCAATCCGTCTAAGGTTTTAGTTTACAAAGTTTGCCTAGGCAGTCAGGTTGGCGCTCTTGTGCAAAGTCGAAGTCCCTGTGAACATGAGCAATCTGCCCGTATCTCTCTCTCTCCCGCTCCCTCTCTCGCTCTCTCTCTCGCTCTTTCTTTCTCGCTGCGCTGACTCCGCTCCTGTCGCGAGCATACAGCACGGTTATCTCTAGACGAGTAAGCCGGGTGAATATCTCGCTGCGCTGAGGTCTCGGATCATCTGCGGAGTGGGGGCCTCCTGTACTCCGCTGCTCTTCGCCTGGACAGCGCGTGCCAGGCACCCGGGGAGGCTCCAAAGTCGCAGCGAAAAGAAAGCCCAATGCAAATGAAAGTGTTGGCAAAAGCAGTAACATACAGGCCGTTCTCTTGTCCGTTTCGAGGAAGAAGGAGGAGTAGTGGCGGTGGTCGTGATGCTTGTGATGGTGGTAGTGGCGGTAGTGGTAGCGGTAGTGCAGTGGTAGTGGGAGTGGTAGTGGGAGTGGTGGGACCAGCAGCAGGGCGTAGTAGAAGCAAAAGTAGAAGTAGTAGTGGTGCTGGTGGTGGTAGTAGTAGTTCTGGCAGCAGCAGCAGTGGTAGTAACATGAGTGTTAGTAGTAGATAGCGGTGGCAGCAGTGGCAGTGGCAGTAGCAGTAGCAGGAGTGGCAGAAGTACTTGAAGCAGTCGCAGTCGCTGCGGCTGCGCTGCGGCAGCGGCAGCAGCAGCAGCATCAGCAGCAGCAGTTGCAGCGGGAGGAGGAGCAGCTGGAGCAGTAGGAGTGTGGGCGTAGGAGGAATGGTGGGAGCAGCAAGAGCAGTAGCAGTAGAAGGAGTGTGGTACCAGGACGAGCAGCAGCGCAGGAGGACGCGAGGAGGGGGAGGAGGAGTAGGAGGAGGAGGAGGAGGAGGCGAATGAGATCATATCACATCAAACACCATTCACTTCCTGACTCATTTGACTCGACACATACAAGAGGCTTACTCCGGCGTGCAGGAGGTGGCTGCGGCACAGGCTCCCTGCCTGTTGCTTTGTTGTGCTCGTGAGAGTTGTGCAAAGCAGGTCCGGTTGAACACCATGCGTTCGTTGGGCACCTTCATTGGCCCTTTCGGGAGCACTCTTCTCTGTCTCCTGCCCAAGGCTGGTTGGCAGTTGCCTGTGCGTGCGTGACTATACAGATAGACATGTAGAGACAGAGAGTATGCTGTTGATGAGGGCGGTCAGGGCACGAATTTGCACCTCGATTGTGCCCTGATGCTACGCTAGGAAGGGCTATTCAACGAGCTCAACTCGGCAGGCACATGCCCACAAGCGATGCGCATGCAATTGACACGGCGGTCTTTCACGGAAATGGTTGGAGGAAGCTCCCGGCCACCAGAGCAGGCTGGGCGATCGCAGCCGCGAACCTCTTCGGCGTTGCGCTGTGTTGCTGTGGAGTTCTCAGCTGCGATCCTTTGATGTTGAACAAGCTGCACGCTCATGCGCGCTCATGCGCGCTCAAGCTCAGATCGGCTTACCGACCCTGCTGTGCCTGAGCCGCGGGCCGGCGGCCAGGATGTAGAGCACGGCGGGGAAGTTGGGTAGATGGGTCAGCACCTGGCCAGTGACACAGTGACACATCGTGCTTGTGTCATGTCTTGCCTTCTTCACTGGAACCACTGGGATCCTGACAAGGAAACGAGAGCAGCCCCGCAGAGTGAGATCCCAACAAGTCCTCGGATTCCAAGAATCCAAGAATTCAAGGTCTCTGCTGTGGAGCGTGGGCATGGGCAGCCTGCCGTTCCGACCTTCTCATGAGCTCCGGCATTGCACCTGCAGGGTCAAAGCAATCAGGTCCCAGCAGCCCGCAGCTTCCCGACCACCACTGTGATCTGGACATGCCTCTTGTTCCAGGCTTCTGACCTGGCTGCAAAGGGGGGCAGGCTGTAAGAGTTGATGCCAGGTAACGACGGCACTGCTCCTGGCAGTGCTTGAAGTGGTTCCGCCGATAGTTCTCACAGACGAGGTACATCCTTGTTGCCCCAAGACTGGTGCAGAACTAGCAGCGACTCCCCTGAGTTTCGGCTGCCACCAGCGGCAACCTCGATCCTTTTCGGCATCGCGTCGCTGGCAGTCATCGCGCTCTTCGCGCTGGTTGAGGTGAGAGATCAAGGGAATGTACCGAAGTGTGCGGGTGTGTGAACGCACCCGTTGTGTGCCTGATGCCTGTCCTGGGAATGCAGGTCCTGAGTCGCAAGGTCAGCGGGCGAAGTTTGATGCGCCGGACTAAGGATGCATATAGAATCTAGTAGCCCTTCCTCGATGAGATGACGTTTGTTTCAGGACTGCTGGGGTCCTGCTCGTCTCCTGTGGCGCCCTTTGGGCGCAGACAAGTTGGAAGTTAGGCGGGTCGTAGGTGTGACATCCCAAGCGGATTGCCGAAAAAGTCAGCATCTGCAACAGGTTCGTCCTTCCTCGCAGCTTGGCAGCAGGTACCAGAAGAGCCCAGACTTTGATCTCGGCGTGCATCTTTGCCAGCCGCCTGCCTTTTCCTAAGGAGTTCGTGCTGCCATGGCTGGCTCTGCACCCAGAGCTACCCTGAAGCTGGCCTGAGGGTTTTGATCGGGTCCCCAAAGCTTCGCTACAGATTTTCTCACGAGGTGCTTGCCGTGGCACCAGCGCCACTCCTACGCACACCCGCGCGGACTCTTTACACGAGTCATCTGCCGAAACATGTGCAGGTGCACAGTTGTGTGCACGGGTGTGCGAGGGAGCATCCCCGACAGACAGGGCACCATGCAGGGCATCTCGGAGGCAGCCTTCTCCTTCGCCAATTTCCTGGGTCCAATCCTGGGGAGCCACGTGGCCACTTCAGGCGGGGGGGCATGTGCATCTGCCGGAAAGTTCTGTGGCCTTTTTGCTCTTCGAGGCGGCTTCCAAGGGCTTCGCCTGACGATTCTCGGCCTGGTCGTGGCGGAGGTCTTGCTCCTCTGCATCGGATTTCCGCGTCAGGGCCTCAGGCCGACTCAGGCTGACTCAGGCCTGAGAGTCTCTCTTTCACGAAGTCTGGAGTTCTGTCAAGACCGAGGCCTTGTTCCAGGGACTGAGCTTTAGCAGCCTTAGCATGCAGCAGTATGCAATTGTTTTCTCGCTTGCCATCGCATTCGCGAGAGGCAGCGTCCAAATCCCATGTGGCGCGTGGCCAAAGCCGCCACTGCAGCCGTCAATGGCCCGTCTGGGGGAAAGGAGCCCGGGGAAGCAGTGCCGCCGATTGAGGCAAAGCGCTGCCGCGTGCTATTGCGCTACGGTGGATAGAACTGCCAAATGATTTGAAGTTAGCAAAGCACGGTAAGAAGGGTTCTTTTTCAAAAGCTGCTGTTTCGGAAAAGCGGCCTCCGGGGTCGCATGTGAGCGCTCGCATGGGACCCATCTCCTCCATCTCCGTTCTTGGCTCGGAGAGTGCGTGTTAGGACCACCACCAAAGCGGGGCCCCAAACCAGCCAAGCAACGCCGTTTGCGATGCAGCGAGTCATGCACGATCGTGATTTGTAGCGAACATCGCCTGTGGTGGCGCGTAAAGCTGTAAACGGTATAAGCTTAAGCAGATCCTGGCCAGAGTAGCGGAAGAGGAAAAGGGAAGTGTGGAGCTATGTGCGAATGACGAATGCAGCGTCCTGGCCTCAGTCATTCCAGCTGCTTGCTGTGAAATGCGGTGACAATGGAGTGCAGCGGCCCAGGCTGGCTGGTGATCTTTACGTCGCCCCGGGGGCCCTGGCTGTTTGGTGAAGTAGGGAGTCGCTCTTGCGGGCATTGAGGCTGTGCTCCACTGGGACTGCTGAGCTGTCGGAGTATTCGGAGTTCGCCGGGAGCCCTCGAGTGCTTTTTTCATGCCGTCGGTGGTGCATCTTATCCCGCAGTACTTCGATCCAACGTCCTCAACTAGCAGGTTTGGAACTCGCACCAGCCCCGCAATCACGTACGTGGATTCGCTACCATGGCGAGGCATCAGGTAGGATCGCAGAAGCCAGCGGATTTTCCTGCCAGCGACTTCTCATCGATATGTTGTCCGCCCAAGTCTAGTGCCGCTGCGCTGATTTTAACCCCAGATAATTGAGATTCGTGGCCGGGGTACTGAAGGGAGCTTTGGTCCGGCCATCAACTTCAGGCTCTAACTCTAGCCTGCGGAAGTACACACGACAGCGGGATCTCGAAGTCGTCGAAAAGGTCAGAGTTCCTGTGCGGCTGCGTTTGGGAGTGTGGTACTGGAACGAGGAGGCCCCCGCTTCAAATGTATTTGGGGTATCGGGGCCGGGCACATCGTCTTCCTTCGCACACGGGTGTGGAGCTTTTGTTTCTGTGCTCGAAGAGAACCCGTGAAGAGCCAACTCCGTGACTGCCGTGACTGCGGCGTGGCGTCACTGCGAACGCCGAGGCCAAAGCCTTCCTAGCGAGCTGCCAACTGCGAAGCCAGCACTTGGACCCGGCAGTCTCAGCCTCAGCCGTCAAGGGAACCCTCCCTGCCGGTCCCTGACAACGCAGGTCTGGGAGGCCTCGAGTGTGAGCTCCCCGAGCTCCCCGAGCCTTCTCTCCCTCTGTGCCCGGAGCCCTCCCTTCTTTTGAGTTTTCAGGGCCTGGCCTGAGTCGGCCTCCCGAGGTGGATGATTGCTCCGCGGGCTCCGAGGCTTTGGCAGGGACAAAGACATGTGAGTCGCAGGAAGAACAGACTGGTTTTGGATGTTTCTGGCGTCGGAGGCAGTGATCCTTGACTTCCTGGAGCAGTTTAGTGCAGGGGACCCGCCAGAAAATAGTACCAATAGCAGTGGAGTTGGAGGAACCCCCGATGCAGACTGCACACAACTACGTGAGGTCACTGTTTGTACGCATCCTGGGCAGAGCCCCTCACGTGCTCGAAGCCCAGCTTTCCCAACGTGACTGGCAACTTGAGACTCGAATCTTGTCTGCTTCAAGCTTGAAGATAAGGCACGCCGAAGCGTCACGTTGCTGTTGGAGTGTGCGAGTCCTGGGAAGATCTCCGCATTAAGCCAATTAAGCCACCATCTGCCCGAACCCAGGCCTAGAAACCGACCCAAGCCTGGGCCTCGGATTCTTGTCAACACTGTAAGTTCTTTGTGTCGATGGTGATAACGGGGAGGGTTCTGATGGTCTGAGCTTGAACTGGGATGCCACGCCAGCGCAGCTGTTTTCTCCTCAAGTCGAGCATTGCTGGGAGAGCGCTCGAACCCAGCTGCAGCCAGTACCTGAGCGGTCTTTGCGGCTGCATTGTGTGAAGAGCGCGCGGGGCTCGGAGCCAACAGCCAAGGCATGGGAGAAGACCGCAGAGGTGGGATGGGACGTCGGGAAGGGCAGTACAAGCTGTCCAGGTGTGTGCCCCGCTGAGGCAACATGCCCAGTCTCTGGGATGGGGACTATGCCGAGCTCGGATGCAGCGAGCGTGTGCTGACGGCAGGCGGGCAGGTGTGTGTGTCCAAATCAAAAGGCCTACCCATTGAACATAAGAGGCTTCTATCGTCTTCCATCCATTGGCTACCTGTGGGAAGGCGACCCTTTTTCCGAAGCTGATTGGTGTGACATGAGGCCCTGCCCCGCTGACCCACGTTGATTCCATGGAGATTACGAACGATCCGCGTTTCTTTCAGGAAGAGTCGAGAGTGCAGCAAATTCGACAGTGTGCATAGCCCCTCTGTGCCGGAGTGGCTTTTTTGCATGACAACAGTGGCATGGAGGACAACGTGATCAACTATCGGCTGGCAGCCTTCGCAGGCCTCGGTGTCGTGGCAGGGCTCATGGTCCAGAACTCGATGGATGCCTTGTGGAAATGCTAGCAGCTTTTGTGTTCACTTTGGCTGCAGTCGGTCTATGTAATCTGTTGTTCGCTGGCAAACCTTCGCCCAGGACCACCTGTTCGACATGAGAAAAGACATGTGTGAATGGTATAAGCCCCATCAACACCTGGACAGCACCTGCCAATTCATTGCCTTCCTTCTGCTCGGGCTGGTGCATTTATTGAACGTCGTCGCCACATACGTTGGTGTTGCGCAGCCCTACCACACGGTACGTCTGATGACCGCCGGCCCGACCGGAAGCCTGGCCGAAACTTAAATTTGGTCCATGATGGCCGACAGCAGCAGGTAGCGCTGTCAAGGCAAAGTCTCTGTGTCATCCCCTTCTCCAGAAACAACAAGTGATTGAGGATTTGAGTCAGCTGCCTGCGACTTGACAAGCATGAAGACGCCCTCGGCAAACGAGGGAGATTGAGTGTTCGGATGATGTCAGAGGGTTTCCGGCAAGGGAGCCCAGCAAGGTTACTACCTCAACAAGAACATCATCGCCTGGCGGCACTTTGCCATCAAAGGCGCCCTCATCAGCCTGCCGATGTTTGTGGCCAGCACTGGGCTTCGCAGCCTGGGCAAAAAAAGACCATGTGAGGCTTAAAGACTGAACATCATGGCGTCGACATCGAAGCCATCGGAGTCTAGTCTAGACACAACTCAAGAAAAGCATTTGCAAGCTGTTCTCATTCTCAGTCCTGCTGGATAGGACACAGGCAAAAAGGATGCTTGTGACTCGTGATTCGTGACGGTTCGTGTTAACGAGGCATGACCTGAGCCATTGCGAGCCTGTCGCTGTAAGGCATGGTGGTCAAGTTCGACAGAGAGCTCTGGGCAGCAGTTAGGGCCAGATCAGGGCTCAGGTGGCACTGGCGAGATCTGCCGAGCACGAAGTGGTTAAATGCATTGATGTTGCAAGCACGACACAGCCGAGGAAAATATGGCCGAACCGGATGTGCCAAAGGACCTGCCGGACACGTGCCGTCACCTGGGCTTCGGTGCGTGGCCTGTCTGACACTTTGTCTCCCCTATTCGTGGATGAATGCGATGTCTCAAGCAGCTCAGCCACCAAGGTGTTCAATGTTCATGTTCATGGCATGCTGTGTGTGCCACTTGGCTAGTACAAAGTCCGGCCAGCATGCCTACGGCAGCATGCGCTTACCCTCGTCGTTCTTGAGGTTTTTTTCCTAACTTGAAGCATCCTGTTGTGGTTCTCGGGGGTGTTGCGCTGAATAGTAATTTCCATGCTGCCTTGCCCAAATTATGGTCTGGCAAATGCTCCCTGCTTTGCTGAAGTCTCGTGAACCCAGTCTACATTCATCGGAAGCACTTCAGCATTTTCGACGAGCGCTACGCGCAGTTGGAAGCGAACCTTCTGCAACACAAAGACGTCCTGGTTACGATGTCACAGAGAAACACCGCCAGGCGGGTCGGAGGAATTGGATCTTGATGCGGTTCGCCCATGACTTTCCTGTAATGATCTCTGTAATGCGTGGCGGCCTGAACAGGTGAGGGTTCTTTTGGTACAAACTGGCGAGAGGTTGGCAAGTATGCGAGATGTTTCACCCTGTGAGGGACTGGCAAACCTGGAGGGCAGTCTATCGCTTGCAGACTTGAGTTGCAGAAGACAACATCAAGGTCGGAATTGCTTTATTTGCGACTTGCTGTTGGTAGACGCCCCCAGCAGCACCCAAGGAGGTGTCAGCCAGCAAATTCGACCGCGAGGTCGGTGTTTCTCATGCCTGCGATGAGCCAAGAAGTTGGTTGCACATCTTTCAGCACTCGTCTTGGTCCGTCGGGGCTTCCAGAATTTTGTGCCGAACGCTGCGGCAATGCCTGCCTGGCGACACTTGCATGAATGAGTGTAAATGTTTAGCGGCTGTAACCTCTTGGAACTGCCGGTGCACCTTGGCTGTACACGTACACAAGGACCGAGAAAGGCACTGCGGCTGCTTACATTGCATCAGATTCAGCACTACATGTCGCATGAAGCGTGCATGAGCTAGTCTGAGCAAACAACACTGCCGATTTACCGTCGCTGCAGCAATCTTCTTGCTAGAGACCTGCCCGGAATCTCCGCAAAAGCGGCCTTTCGCGTGGCGTGCACGGTCGAAACATGCCGCTTGGCGTCGAAGCAGTTGCATTTGGAAAGTTCACAACGAGCGAGCAGGAAGCCGCTCATGAACTCAAACGCAGTGTCTGAGGTCGGTAAGGTATTCAAGCATGCCGCAGTTAGAACCGGATGATGAAGGCAGACGCTTGGCTGAACGTTATCTACCATGCATTGAGTTGTTTAGAAACAGCAGTGTTGGACGCCACGCGACATTTTCCATTGTCCTTTATTCAAGTACCGCGGCTGGGTGCTGGGCCAAATGAGCACCTCGGCGTGCCGGAGATGGTGCTGGAGTCAGGCCGCTGCCGCATTGGGATTTTTTCCTATCCAATTCAAGGGTCAAGTTCAAGCGAAATGATGTCTTCAATGTCAATGCAGACGCTGTCCTTCAATAAGTTTGCTTTGCTTTGTCGAGAGAAGGGCCCACAGCGCTCCTTGTATCAGGTGGCTTCTCACGCTCAGACTCAATGGACATCACGAACGATCCGCGTTTCTTCACGGACAGCTTCGGCCATCTCATTATCTGGAAGTGTTATTGGTGGAAAGCCGGAGATGACTAGGAGTTAATCATTCGGCAAGAAGTGGCTGCGGTCTGTGCAGGAGAACGTTTTGACAGCTCGGCTCACTGCATTTGCAAGTCTGGGCATCGTCGCCGGCCTCATGGTGCAGAACTCCTTGGACCCTCCTTTGCATATCTTGCAGCCTACACTGAGAAAATCAACTTGTTCCTGGGATCGTGTCGTGAGAGTATGTATGCCTCGGCAGTCGTGAACAGGGAGCGAGCCACCTCGTCGGCGCACTGATACAAAACAGATAGAGAACGGCGTATCTAGCAGCTACGTCCTAATTCATTGGTAGATAGTAACGAATGTCTAGTTCACTCACGTGCAAAAGCATACGAACTTGCGGACCAAGGGTTCATTAGTCACGACATTTGTTTGATACATAGCCTTAATAATGTGTGGTCGAACATCATTTGCACACTAGTAAAGCATTCGTAAGAGATGAATGTAAACACTTTGTCAAATGTCAAATCAAAGCCATTTAACTTGAGCTCAGTGCTTAGGTCGGCAATCCGCGAGATTGCGTTGGCATTTCAGCACTTTCTTGTGATCAAATTTTCATGAAAGTTCGTTTATTGTCAGGTAGATCTGAAGCCTATGGTAAAGAAGGGTTGATTAAGCTTATATTGACTTCTTAGACGAGCATAGTTTGCAGGCCACTTGAAAGCTTCTCCTTTCTGTAGCATCGAATTAGACATATATGTTGTATTTCGATGCAGGGATTGAGCCTGGGTTCAAGAATGATCATCAGGTATCTGTTCCTGAAGCGCAGCCTAACCATTACATGTCCAGCACATGATCACTCCAACATGAGGTTCTCAGTTTTAAAGTGTATACTGTTCGAAAGGATTTGTATTGTCACAGCATCGCCTGACTTCGTCGAGCGCGAGTGCCAAAAAAAATATACATATATGCATATGTGCACACACTTATGTACCATGTACATGGGTATTCTTTCCGAGAAAGTATCTTGTCACACCATGACGGGCATATTCCTCGCGGCTGCCCAAACAAAACAAAGTCCATGCGCCAGACAATGAGCATATTTCCTGAGGCAGTCCCCAAAACCAACGATGACAAAGATGTAGAGCTATTCCAAAGGTACTTTGTCGAGACGGTCCCCAAACAAGCAAACCGGAAATCCAAAATTAGCATATTTCTCAAGGCAGTCCCAAAAAATCAACATGTTTTAAATCCAGAAGCCAAGAAATGAGCATATCTTGAGGCAGTTCAAAAACAGAACCCTGGAATAAGCATGTTTCTCTCGAGGCTCCCAAAATCGACAGATAGCACAACCTGTAAGCCAAAAGCTGAGCATATTCCTCGAGGCAGTCCCAACAAAATTCAAAAAGCACAAAGATTCCAAGCTCTTACAGGGTTTGAGTGTTCTGTTGAGACTGTCTGGAGAGTTTTGGTACTTTGTGTTTTTTTTGGACTGCTTCGAGGAATGGGTGATTATTCTTCTTGTTTTCTTTATTGCAGGTGCTCCTTCCGCATGTACGTCTGTCTTCTGCAGCATGCACAGATACAAAGATACGAGAGAAGTGTGCAGTCCAAGGCTATACCGACATAGTAGACATTCGTAGACTAAAGGTGTGGATTCTGGGGGGGGGGAGGAGAACAGGAGAACAATGTGTATATACGTATATATATACACACACACACATACACATACACACACGTGGTTGTAAATCCTAGGGCCCCGTTAGGTTCCTAAACTATAGTGCGCCGTATTAAGAGTGTAGTAGAAATGTATAGGGTTCCCAAAACAAAGTCTTGACAGTTACCCATGTTAATATATAAACAGACAACACCCCCCTTCCCCGAGCCCCGCCCCCTCTCCCCCTCTCGAGTAGACGCTAAAGCAATACAGCTGGTTGCTCACCAAAGTTTAGTTGTTGGCCATTGAAAGATAAGCAGTATTTCCTGGAGATCTGACTGAACAGTTGTTTGATTTTCCGAATCACGAATATGTACACAACAGAAATTTTCGTTTTGCCCGAGTTATGCATATGGCATCCCATAGCTTAGCCGCTAATGAATACTTTGTGCGCATTTACGTTTTTTTGTTGCTATCCCCTTCTCAACGAAATAGTACTACTGCACCGACTATCAATGATTGTTCTAATTGAACATTGTTTGAATACTGCTTATTGTGTGGCTTGAGCAATATGTACGGGTTAACCACCTGAGCTTCGAGCGTGAGTGTTAAAAAAAGGCAGAACAACATGAACCAATCAAACGCAAGTATTAGCTTGATATTAACTGGGGCAGGGGTTCTAGAAGGCGCTATAACAGATGTGTCGCACAGACTGTTTGACTTTGGAAGCTGTAGTGAATGGACACATCTCTGCATGTATGCCTGCATGTATGCAGGCATGTGTGTGTACCCCGGAAGCAGTCTTCGTTTAGACTTGAGGAAACAAGACTCAGAGCAGTCGTGAAAGCCTTGAGGAGTCTGCTGGAACTTCTAGCAGTAGTCTCAAGCCACGGAGCAGTTCCTTTGGAACCGATGAGCGTTTCCCAGCAAAGTCACAAGATTTGAGTGTCATGTGAAGTTCATGCGACAGGAACTTCTGAGCGATGCAACAACCGCACAGCCGCACAGATCCACGTAGCTGAAGAAAGCTGTCCAAGTCTGTCGGGCTCGAGCACCGTATCCCAAGCTTCCTGTGAATGTGCAGGATCACCTTTTTGATATGCAGAAGAGAATGAATCCATTCAACGGAGATGTTGTCGATCCTTGGCTTCCATGAAAGTCACAATGATGTAGTTTTGGTGCCTCGTACGCTTGTTCGTCGCACCCTGCCAGGATGGAGCCTGTCAGCTTGCCGGATTTTTCTTGCTTGGAGTTGTCCAGTTGTTCAATGTCATCGCAACATATGTGCCAGACTTAAACGTCGCCAGTGCTATCTGTGCAGACCCGTTCCACACCCTGCAATATGCTTGGACACCCAGGTGGGTGTGGCGCAGCCCTATCACACCATTCGTCTAATGACCGCAGGCCCTGCAGGACTCGCAAGATCAGCCTTTCAGACGCGCAGGAAACATCAGGAAACATGTAGGATACCCCATGAAGCAGACAAGCACTGCCATGCAAGTGATCTCGAGGATTCGATGCCTCAGTTTGTCCCTTGCCTGCAGCATTCAGCCCTCGAGCCGATTTGGCTGCAAAGCGAGCTGAGGTTACTACTTAAATCCGAACATCAGCACGTGGAGGCACTTCGCAGTCTCTATGGCGCTGGTCTCCATGCCTCTCTTCTTGGCAAGCAGCGGCTTACGTGCCTTTACTTCAATGAGTATGGGGTACTGGTTGTTCGGACACCATCAACCAGCCCAGGGTTCACTGCCCTCGCTGTTTCTCTTAAGGCATGGTGGTGAAGTTTGACCGGGTGACTCGGCTGCATGCCTCGTAGAACCTGGGAACGGAAAGCCTTCGTTATCGAACCAGTATGAGGTTCAAGCTTAAGTCGTACCCAAAAAATATGGGTGAATGGAGGACTGCGGTACAGAGTCCCACTGGCTTGGCGAGTGAGGAAAACTACGACTTCCCTGACCCGACTGGCAGCCATGCTGATTCCGGTTCCAGAGCTCTTGGCGCCATCATGCCCCTTTGATACATTACCTCCGAGATCGCACTCAAATCCACAGTCGCGGTCGCAGTTAGGAGCTCAGGTTCATGTATCGCAGGGGCAGCTTAGGTTGATCTACTTCTCACTCATGGCCGTGATCGTAGGTTGCTTGCTGCAGCCAGAGCGGCAGGATCGAATTGTTCAGTTTCTGAAGCCCGGGAGCTTCAGACTGGGATCAGGTTTCGGTGGACGCAAAGGGACTGT